CCCCAAGCAAACAAACAGACCTCTGATTGGCTATTCGGAACACAGACGGAGACGAAAGACACCTCTTAAGAGGTTGGGGCCGTCAAGAAGGCTAAGTTAGTCAATCAGGAGACCGATAACACCAACTAAAGAGGTTTGGGCCGCAATTATTTCACAGACGAAGCTGGCTGTGGCAGTCGCGAATGAAGCACTAAGCTTGAAGAACGCTCTACTGCTTTCTTTCCCGCACTTCGAAATGTTCTTTTAGCATCTTCTTTTGTTTTTTTTCTTATGTCAGCGGCCAACGGACGGCCACATTTCTCATCAGCATATCGTTCACCGAGGCCTGTACAACGTGAAAGAGCTAGAGATGAACCCGTCATATTGCTTAAGCATCCAATATAAACAGAGTCGCTTATCAAAGCTCCCCGCCGGCTGGTCTCTAACAGGCTTCTACATGTCGGCTATGATGTCCCTAACCCGCAAAAAACTCCGCATGGTATCCTAAACGGATGATTGGTAGATCGTGCACCACGATCGCCTCCTGTGCATTAATATAACTGCATGTTGAATTAAGCCTGCAGCATGGCAGGCTCGCAACAACGTAGTGAGATGTTTCCACCTCTCTTCCATCGTCAGAACGACAGCCATCGCTGAGTTCTTCGACTGTCGTCTTCACCCGAATAAAAAGGCTTCAGCCCGGTCATGTTATAGCTATACTGAAAGTGGCCTCAAGCACAGCCATAATTAGCAGCCGTTCGATTGGGGTAAAGACGGCAATCTCTCGGAATCGCAGGCTCGAAACAACTTACTGCGATGATGTCCCAGTATATTAACTCGCCCATCTTGTGAACGGCATCCGTCGCTTAACTCCCCCCCACTAAGTTCACTAACCCCCCTGCGACATCGCCGGCTCGTAACAACTTTAGAGCAATTTGCCATCAACTCACCCATCTCTTAACTCGCCAACTAACCCCCCCTTTTGCGACATCGCAGGTTCTCTACAACTTTAGTGCGATTTGACTTCAACTCACCCATCGCTTAGCTCTCCGACCAGCACCCCCTGCGACATCGCAGGCTGTCAACAACCAACTTAGTGCGATTTGCAATCAACTCACCCATCTGTTAACTCTACAGTTAACTCTGCGACATCGCAGGCGGTCAATAACTTAGTGCGAAGTGCCATCAACTCTTCCATTTTCGGGACCACGCCCATCGCAGAGCTGTCCAGCCAGCTGAAAACTTGGGTGACAGTCTCCTGGAGAGAGTCCTTCGCCTCCCCGCTGCTCAGCTTGCTCAGCTTCTTTTTAACTCGCCTGGCAAGAGCTTCTAAGGAAGATCTGGCATCGCACCGTTTACTGACATCTTCATCTGACGACTTGAATCGCTCCGCTTCTTCCGACATTGCCTGGATCTCCATCTTCGACAGCCTGCCTTTGTCAGTGATCGTCGTGCTGATCGTTTTGCCCGGCGTGGTAGGACACCGTTTGGCACGGACTGTGAGGTGCACTATCCCGTCCTCGTCGATCCGAAGCACGGCATCAGCTCTCCCTCTCCCTGCTTCGTCCCGCTTGAATCCTGGAAACTTCACACCTCCAAGAAAACGGTTATCTTTGACAAGAGGGCGCTCTCCTTCGAAGACGGCGAAGTACCCGATCGTCTGATAATCAGCAGCCATCGCGTAGGTACGCGAGGCTTCCGCCGGTATGGGTGTGTTCCTTGGTATAACGACGTTCATCTTGCCGAACCGGGTTCGGACCCCGAGGCTGAGCGGTGTTACGTCTCGAACTGTGATCTTATCGAGATCGGCACATCGATCACCCCCCAGCATGTCTGCCTTCACGGCAGCTCCGTACGCCACCGCCTCATCCAGATTGACAGCGATCAACGGCTCTCGACCTTCGAAGAAAAGCTTCAGCAATTTCTGAATCTTAGGAATGTTGGACGAGCCTCCCACTAGAAGAACGTCATCGATCTCGCCCACTGACAAATTCGCATCCTTCATTGCTGAGTCCACCGAACGGACACATCTATCGAATAGATCCCGATTGATTTCGYCGAAGTTCGAACGCATGATCTGCAGCTTGATCTTCGACGAGTCCTCTTGAACTTCAGCCCTCGTGTCTGTCGACAGCTTGTGCTTGGCCATTATGCATTGTTGTCGAAGCTTGAACAACCGTCTTTTGTCGTTGGAGATATCGAGGCCGTGCTTTTCTCGCAGAACCTGCAGTGCGTAATCGAGCAGACGCTGGTCGAAATCGATGCCTCCCAAGTGCGTGTCTCCTGCTAATGCCARCACGATGCACTGCGATTGACTAATCGTCATGATGGAGACGTCCAACGTGCCTCCTCCAAGATCAAAGACCACGATGTTCTTCTTCTCTTCTTCTTCGTCGTCGTCGTCCTCCTCCTCCTGGCCGCCGCCATCGCCGACCACCTTCTCATTCTCCCCTCCACTGCATAGAAGATCAACGTCATTGCTGCCGTGGACCTTTAGCTTCTTCATCTCGATGTAAGCAATAGCGGCGGCAGTCGGCTCGTTCATCAAGTGAAGAACGTTCATGTCCTGCGATTTCTCCAGCATCCCTTGTCGCTCTTCGCCGAGCGTCGTTGAAGTGAGCTGGGACGGTGATGACGGCGTTGTTAATGTCACAACCGGCGGCCTCCTCAGCCATGGCTTTCAACTTTCTAAGCAGTTCTGCCGAGACCGCTTCGGGCAGAAGCTTCTCGACGGTCGATTGCCCGCTCGGTACCACGAGCACAGGCTCACCGTTAGATCCTCTCTCCACCTTGAATGGCCACCTCTCTCGGTCCCTTTGCACCTCTGCATCGTCGAATCGTCTGCCGAGGATTCTCTTCGACTCGTACACGTCACAGTTGGGATGCTCCGCTGCCGCCAGTCTAGCCGCTTTACCGATCTCCCGCCCCCTCGCATTGAACGCCACGTAAGATGGGATGATTCTCTCCCCATCATCGCGGTTCGCAATGACTTCCACGTGTCCGCGGCGACGAATAGCCACACAGTAGTTACAGGTCCCCAAGTCGATACCGATGGCCGGACCATCGTGTCGGCTGTCCCGGGGATCGACCGGTGGAGGTTGATTGATCACCATATCTAGTGAACGCACGCGCTCCTTCGCTAACACGTTATCGGAGGATGAAGCCCCTCTGCTTCGCAACTGAAATACGATGTAATAATATAATCAAGCAAACTACAGATACATCAGTTCATCCGCTACTGAGCTAAAGGACTGCAAAAAGATGCGCGCTCTCTCTCCCCGCCTCCTCAGAGAATGAGAGATTCTCGAATGCACAGAGAGAACTCTCCCTCGTNCTAAAGGACTGCAAAAAGATGCGCGCTCTCTCTCCCCGCCTCCTCAGAGAATGAGAGATTCTCGAATGCACAGAGAGAACTCTCCCTCGTCACCAATAGCCATAGCCATAACCTATCGAACCCTGTGGTTCCTATCGGATCCTACACGTATGTCGGACGCAGTTTGATGTTGTTAACCGTGGTGAGACTCCTTGTACAGACTATATAGAGATTCAGACTCAACTCCCGATAGACCGAATGCTTCAATTCTGCCCGTCGATTTTCATAATCTATGCGGTCAGAAATCGAGAACTCGGAGAAGTGGGACCTGCCCATAAGAGGTGAAGAGGTGAAGAGGTGGAGAGATGAACAAATGGGAAAGAAAAAACCAAAAAAAAAACACGAGATCATGGAGTTAGACATGAAGAGATTTAAATCAAATTAATGACTAGGCGAAGAAGGACCGTGCTCTGCTAACGGCGATGTGTTGGGTGAAAAAAAAAAAAAAAAGAAAAAAAGACTGACGGTGGATAGATTCGCGGTCGAATCCGGCTTTCGAAAGCGGGTTTTCCCGGGTTTTTTTTTCTTTTTTTTATTTTTTGATTGATTGATTGGTAGGGGATGGGTCGCCCCCCAAGCCCCCACCCAATCTCACACACACACACACATTGACACTTACACACACACACACACACATGAATACACACACACACACACACACACATAGAGGGTAGGTTTTTAACTTTTTTTTTTTACTTTTTTTTATTCCACGCGTGTCCCACCAGGTGTCCGAGCCCCATCGCGCTCGACCCGTTGATCGGAATTCAACGGGAAGCCCCTGTTATACCGTTCAACGAGAATTTAACGGGGACCCCGGGGGTGTTCAACGGGTACAACGGCGCTGTACAAAACCCGTTCCCCATTGAATGGACACACAGCCCACGGGGCTCGACATCAGTTGAAAGAAAGTTTTGAAAAATAAAAACGATGTTCCCGCGCGGTCATCGCGCCAAAATTCTCGTTCCTCTTCGGCCCAGTAGAACATGAAAGAACTTATGGCAACCGTTATTGATTGTGCCTGTCCTGGTGCGCCCCCCCTCAACTGTTCGCCCGGGAGTTCCCCGACCCTGGCCCAACATCACTGAATAAAGAAAACAAAAAGCGAGGATGCCCATGCAATTTGCCCCGTCGACCCCGTTCTCCACACTTCGCCCGGTTAGCCCGATCCGTTCCCCCAAACAGCGTCGCGCAAAAAAAAACGCGGTTACGGAAGACAGATTGTCACATATATGACGCCCAGGGGGTTCCATTCTTAAGCAAGCTCCTGCTTGCCCCTTTCAAGGTTCATCGCCCGTTCTACGAAGCGATGCGAAGCCGACACGTGCCACTCACTGTAAGAAAAGAGTGTGGAAGTCGTCCTACGTGGCATTCGTGT